GGAAAGAACCCATTGGATCGTGCTGCAAGAGACCACGATATTGCATACGCCTTATACAAAAATTTGAAAGACAGACACAAAGCTGATTGGATTCTTGAGAACCGAGCCTGGGAACGTGTAAAAGCACCTGACGCTTCACTAGGAGAAAAGACTGCAGCTTGGCTAACAACTACCGCAATGAAAGTTAAGCGAAAATTGGGTATGGGGCAGAAGAAATCATCTTTTCGACGAGGTGTTCTCACGAAAATCACAAAGTCCTTGAAGAAAAATGCTCCCACCACCACGACATTAAAAAAGTCTGCATTGGTTGCTCTTAAAGCGGCAAGATTAGCGGTGAAGAGTGCAGGTGGAAAACATAAAGTTCGACTACCGAGGATAATTCCGATCGAAGGAAAATCTGGGGGATTCCTACCCTTGATCCCCCTTTTCGCCGGATTAAGTGCCTTGGGGGCGCTCGCAGGGGGAGCTGCAGGTGTGGCCAAAACGGTCGTTGATGCCAAGAATGCACAAAAGAAATTGGAGGAAGACCATCGCCATAACAAAGCTATGGAGTCTTTGGGCAAAGGATTGTATTTGAGAAAAAATGCTAAAGGTGGTTATGGGTTGTACCTCAAAAAAAAAGTCAAAAAAACTAAACATCAAGCTACCCAAGAAAGCGCTTTATGATTATGAAATAAAGCAATATGCGAAGCTCTTGAACATACCTCATTTCCGAGGTGTCTTCATGCGTGACACTTTACCACGAGACGGTCCACGTAAAAGAGAATGCGCCGTCGTGAACTTAGATATTTCACAAAACAACGGAACTCATTGGGTAGCTTATAAAAAGATAAACAACAACGTTGAGTATTTCGATTCATTTGGTAACCTGAAGCCTCCACAGGAACTTGTTCGATATCTGAAAAACGCTAAAATTTTCTACAACAACGATCCTTACCAAACTTATAATCAAGTTAATTGCGGACAATTGTGTTTGAAATTTCTAAACAATAACAACAACAACAACGATGGATAATAAAACATTATCGGAATTTACATTAGAAGAGTTTGAGAAGAATATTCCGCCGCTGGAATATTTAATAAGCAATGTGAGACCTGCAGAATTATTGAGTATATGGCACAAACTGCCTGCAGAATACACATCCAATTTTGATCTTCAAATACGACTTCCATGCTATGTTCACTACAACAGACCTGATTGGGCAACACATTGGGATGGACCGGCTACTGCTCAAGCAAATTGTTATTTCTGTAAATTATCTTGAATAAATGCTTAGTACACAGCTATATTTTTTCATTCATCATGTCGCAGTTGTTGAGAGTCAATAGCACTACTCATATATTTTCATTTCGTCCTTCAACACCGATAGTGTTGGATCCGAAAAAAGATTATGAATTGGCGCTTAGGTCTTTTACTTCATACAATTCCATACCGAATATTGAAAAAGGAGATAAATTTTATTATATCGACCGGATAGGTGGTGGTGGTGGTGGTCAATTAAAAGTCATCGAGTTTCCGACAGGTTGTTATGAAATTACCGACATAGAAACATTTATACGAACGCAAATGAATCTTGAAAATGAAGTTGCTCCTCCGGATGATTATTTTTCTCTAAAACCTAACAATAATACACTGCAATGTGAAATCTTTAGCAAGTATTATAAAATAGTTTTTACAGAACCGAATAATCTTGGACATCTATTGGGATTCTCGAAAAAAGTTCTTAATCCTGGTCAAAAGCATTCTTCTGATTTACCTGTAAACATAATAAAAGTATCAACCATACACTTTGATGCTAACATTACGTCGGGAGCCTTTGACGGAGACACGCCTGCACACACGATCTACGAATTTGCTGTGACAGCCGATCCTGGATACGCTATAGTCGAAACACCTGTAAATTTACTATATCTACCTGTTATACCGAAACAAGAAATAACCAACATCACAGTGTTGGCTTTAGATCAAGACGGTCGTCCTGTACCTAAACTTTCAAGGTGAAACTAGTACTCTTGTGTTGGAGTTGAGAGCGAAGCGCAGATGGGATTAGTGATTATAAGACATAGTGGTGCTTCCAAGGCAACTTCAGTATTACCCCAAGCACCTAAGCGACGACATCTACTACTAACTACATCAAATATCCTGTTTCTACGCTCACTTGGATATCATGTCAACAACAACAAGAATCATGTACAAAAAGAGAAAAACTGAGGAGGCAGCAGCAGCAGCATCACATACTTCTCCGATGTTTGATCTATATCGATCTCCAGCATTCGATGAATCTATTCGCAAGGCTGAGTATAGATCTTATACGCCGTTCATCAAGTCATTTAATTGTAATGATGTTGTGGAATTTAGCATCAATCAAGTAGATTCGTTCTTTGCAATGAACGCTTCCCTTCTATCTATCAAAGGAAAAGTTGAAATAACTGGAGGAGGAGGAGCAGGAGATGTATCTTTAGCTCCAAACTTTGGTGCCTTCCTATTTGACTCTTGCACTTACAGTGAATCCGCTAGAGAAGTTGAAACAGTACGTGATCCTGGTATTGTAAGTACTGTCCGAGCTTACGTATGTTACAGTGAGGAAGACTCAAATCATATGGCTATAGCTGGATGGAACTATCCTTCAACACCTATAATGGCGTCAACACATAACAAGTCTTTTAGCTTGCTAATGCCGCTTAAACATATTTTCAACATTTTCAATGATTATCCTATGATTACGTGTGGCAGACAAACTCTCAGATTTGTGAGAGCTAGAAACGATAACGATTGTATCATTATCAAGGAAAAAACTGGAACGACGACGACAGCGAAAATAACTATTGAAAGCATGGAACTGAAAATCAAACATATTTACCCGAGTGATGATGTGAAAGAACAACTTTTGAAAGCTATTCAAACTGATAAGCCGATACTTATACCGTTTAGAAAATGGGATCTGAATGAACTGCCTGCAATTACCGCAGATGCGAGAAGAGAAATATGGTCAGTTAAAACTAGCACCGCAATCGAAAGACCACGTTTCATTATAGTATGTTTCCAAACCGGTAAACGTGACGTCGCAACCTCAGACCCTACCCTGTTTGATCACGTGAATGCTGCTAGTATTCGAGTATCTTTAAATGGTGAATACTATCCCAACGAACGTATGCAATTGGACTTTGCAAACAATCACTTTACTGAAGCTCATTTCAACTATAGCGACTTTCAAACCAGCTATACAACTTCTTCTTCTCCTCTGAAGAGATGTCTTTTAGATTATACCGCTTTTAAAAATCGCGCTTTGTTTGTTATTGACTGTTCCAAACAAGAGGAAACCATGAAATCATCAACTGTTGATGTTAGATTGGATATCGAAGCCGATACTGGCTTTCCAACCAACACCAAGGCCTACTGCATCATTATACATGACTGCTTAATCGAGTACTTCCCCCTCACCGAAGTTATTAAAACCATCTCGTAAGCAACGAAGGACTCTCAGTTCCGCATCAGACATCATGAGGATCGCGTTTGTTGACATTCAAGGCTTTACAGTTGACGGATTATTCGTACCTAAAGAACTATGTATCGAAATTGGTTTCAAGAAAAGTCATTACATCTTTACACCTCCGCAACCTTTTTCTACATTAAATACTAAAGACAAGAAAACTGTCGCTTACTTGGAGAAGAATTTCCATGGGCTTAAATATTCTTCCGGCGACGTTAAATATTCCAAGTTAAATGAAATAATTAAAAATAAGGTGATATATGCGGCTGACTATGTCTACGTTCGTGGAGAACAGAAAGCAAACTTTTTACTCAAGAAATGTCACATTTTTGGTGTTTTTCCCAACATTATTGATGTTTGCAAGTATGATGGTACACCGTGTGCTACTGGAAACTTTGTTGCTGATTCCAATCCATGCCACACCAACGGACAATTTTCCTGTACCCAGAGAAATGTTGAACGTCTACGCCACTGGTTTTCAAATATCATATTACCTATGTAGTTTTTTTCTATTTTCAATAAAATATTAAACGTATTATTGTAGTTTTATTGAAAATACCTCTGGTTTGCGAAATAATTGTCAGAATGTCTATACTATTTTCATTTTGAACGGTATCATCCTGTATAATAATAACAGTACATCGTATACAGGTTATGAGACATTCTGACCGACCGACCGACCGACCAGAGGAGCCCACCACGCTATTTAGGTCACGCCTTGCTATATACGATTTAACGATATACCGTCGGTCCATCGATCCGCTATTTTTCGATGCACCCCTGTATACACGTTGCCCCCCGTAATCCACGCCAACACCAGACAGGTGCGACATCGGCGCCATCTATGCGCGAGATGCCCAACCCATCAATGGCAGCTGTCCAATGACGCATAGATTCCGTTAGGTTTGTACAGCGCCAAACAAATCGGCGCCATCTATGCGCGAGATGCCCAACCCATCAATGACAGGTGTCCAATGACGTATGACAGATGACGTTTTAACGCCATCTATGCGTGAGATGCCCAATGACGCATGACAGGTGTCCAATGACACACAGATTCCGTTTGGTTTGACAGCGCCATCTAGCGGCGGAATCCCCAACTCATGAATACAGATTCCGTCCAACAACCTGTCAATGGCGCGCGACGCCAGCGCCTCTGGTGGCGGATTTTGGAAGTTTTGAGACCGAATCCCCATAAGACATCTACTCATATCTACTGTAATACCCAGTTCTCGAATATTGTTCACAAGATTAATTTCGACATTATCTATCTGGTATACAAGTTATGTTGCCGAGATGGCCGTTCGGGATTTTAAAAAACTTTATTTTTACTTTTACAAGACAATACAATATACTTGATATATTTTATAATGGATAGATGTACAATACGGCAAACAAAACTAGTAATCTTTAATGAATGGTCTGGAAAGCATCAAGAACCTCTATTTATCATCTCGGTAAGGATCCTTTCCTCAGCATTTTCTTCTTCCACGTGCATCCTTTTCTGCATCATAACTCCTTCCCACCTAGTCTGAAAACTGAATAGGAACGTTTTCTGTTTTCAGTAGGTTTTGTTCTTGTTACATTTTTCTTGGGCCTTTCTTCACTGGATTCGGGATTTTCTTCATCTTTCTTGTCTTGGGGTAGGTCATTTTTCTTCTGGATTTGTTTTTTCCAAATATACCAAAAGATTACTGCTACTGTAACAAGCAGAAAAATAGTAAAAACTGAGCTACGAGAAAACCAAATTAAGGGATCAATAGCGGCTTCTTCTTGCATTTGAAGAAAATTTGCTTTCTCTTGTATTTCCTTAATCTTGCTGAGGTCAATAGTCTTGAGGATTAAAGCTTTCTTGGATACGAAGTTCGATCTTGCATTCCAAAACTTTATTTCTGGAAGGACCAAAGGATTTCCTTTGACTTGATCCTCTTTGTTCCAAAACTTGGATGAGTTGATTTGTATTCCACAATTTTCGGGTATTTCTAATATGGGGTTTTCTACTGCTGTATGGACTGTAATACTGTCATCACTTGGCTGAGGGGGTACAATTTGGATATCTGAAATTATTTGTATTTTGTTAGAGTTATCAGGAACTTCAGGGATGAGAAATTCCTCTAGTTCTTGTAAGTCTTCAATATTTATTTCGGGGTTATCATCGTCTTGTAGAAACTGAAGGATATCTTCATCAGAATCTCCAGGATTTGCAATTATTGATTGATCCGTTTCGTCTTGGATGGCGTTAAGTTCTACGCGAGATAAAGCATCAACATTGCTATTTATTTTTCCAGGTTTATATTGAATTTTGTAATTGAACTGTTCAAGAAACAGTTTCCAACGTAAAAGTCTGGGGTTATGTTCTTTCATGTTAAACAAATATTCGAGGGGTTTGTGGTCGCTAACTATGGTAAACTCACGTCCCCATAGATATGGTTTGAAGTATTTCACACCATATACTACTGCTAATAATTCTTTTTCTATTGTGCTATAATTACATTCTGCTGGATTTAGAGTTCGTGATGCATAGGCAATCGGTCGATCATGTCCTACTTTTCCTTGGCTAAGAATACAACCTATTGCGTAATTTGAGGCATCAGTAGTCAAAATAAAAGACTTTTCAAAATCTGGGTATTGTAAAATAGGTTCGTTGGTTATGGAATATTTTTGCAAGTTTCAAAAGCTTTGATAAATTCTGCATTATGTTCAATTTTTGATCCTTTCTTAAGACATTTCGTAAGTGGTTTTGTTAATTTGGCAAATTTTCGATAAAGCGTCTATAATAACCTAAAAGACCTAGGAACGATTTGATTTCTTTGACTGTTTTTGGAATTGGGAATTGTGTTATTGCTTGTATCTTTTTGGGATTCGGTTTTACACCATCACAAGTAACTACGTGTCCTAAATATTCAACTTCTTTGCATAAAAATTCACATTTGTCTGGTTGAATTTTCAATTGTGTGTCCCTTAGTCTCCGAAATACTAATTTCAAATTTGCAATATGTTCTTCAAGACTAGTGGAAACAATTATAATATCGTCCATATATACTAAACAAACTTTGCCTTGTAATCCTTGTAAAACATTGTCAACTACTCTCTGAAATGTACTTGGGGCATTTTTCAAACCATATGGTAAGCGGGTATACTCGTAATGTCCATGTTCTACACTAAAAGCGGTTTTTTCGATAGAGTTTGGATGCATCTCTATTTGATGAAATCCGGAAGCTAAATCTAAGGTACTGAAGTATTGACATCTACCTAACTTGTCCAATATATCGTTAATATTAGGTAATGGATATCGAACACTTATTGTTTTTTCGTTCAGCTTTCGAAAATCTGTTACTATTCTCCATTTTTGTTTCCCACTAGCATCCATCTTCTTACTAACGATCCAGATAGGTGAGCTATAAGGACTTTGACTAGGACGTATAATTCCATCGTTTAACATTTTATTTATCTGTCTTTGAACTTCCTCTTTATGAACAAAGGGATAACGATAATTTTTTGTATGTACTGGAATTTCATCAGTAGTTTTTATTTCATGTTTAATAATATTAGTGAACGTTAGCTTTTCGTTTTCATTGTAAAATATATCCCTAAACTCATGGCAAAGTTTTAATAAAGTCTGTTTTTCCTCACTGTTCAAATGATCAGTCCTAATTAATTTCGATACTTTCTGTATGCTTTCGTCACTATGTTTTAGTTCACCAATAATATCCTCAATATGAAAAATATAGAAGTTATCACTAACTTCTTTAGAATATTCAATTAAGTCTAACTGATTTGAAAAATCTATCGTTATTTGTTCATCTGAATGGTTATAAATTTCTGTATAAGCAAACCATTCATTCGAAGTAGTCAAGGTCTCAGGGAAATATAAGCCATTTATTTCACCTTCAGGGATTATAACGGGGCTATTGTTAATGCTCACAGGAACTTTGATAAGAGCTACCTCGTGTGCATTTATTGTTATGCTATATGGTTCAGTGTCAAGTTCATGGAAAAATATGGGAATACTCAAAGACTCACTAATTAAATGTCGATTAGTAAGGTCTATGTTGAGATTTAAACGTAGTAATTGTTTTAATCCTAATATGCCGTCAAAAAATGGATGGAAATCAAATAAAATGAAAGTGATAAAATCATCTGATTCAAATTCTGGGAATGATGGCAGATCGGCTTTAAATTGAACTTCTTTTTCTCCTACGCCTCCTTTAATCTTGAAACTGAATGGTAAATACGTTCTGGAAAGTATTTTTCTACTATTCTAGGGCGTATCATCGAATGTGAACATCCTGTGTCAATGAGTAACTTTAAGGGTGGATTTTGAATTTTTATGTAGGGTAAAGAGTTGTCAAAATCGGAATGAATTTCGATTATGTTTTGTGGGTGCCTTGGCCCTTGTAATAAAAATTTGGATCTGATTCATAATTTGTGGACGAAGAGGCAGAAGCATGTTGAGCTTCAATATTTTGAGTTTTTGAAAATGGTTTTGGATTTCTGGTTCTTTCGGGTTGTTCGGTTTCGTATCTTTCGTCGTTTTGAGTGTCTATTTGATATAGTTCTTCCGCAATGAAATTTCTGGGTCCCGAGGGCTGGAAATGATTTTGCCTTTGGGGATAGTTCGGTTTATAAGTATTTCTGGTTGAAACTGACATAGGCTGTGGGGAATTATGCGGTACTGTTCCCCTGGGCTTGAAGACGTTCGTGTTTCTGGGTGGTCCGAAAACTTCTTGATTTGTTGGATAGCGTTTTTGAAAATTATTATTTCGACTTTGGATGTTTATCGGCTGACTTGGGAAATTATTCCGGTTTCTGTCAGCTGGAAAAGTTTGTGGAGGTCGATAACTTTGTTGAAAATTCGACTGATGAGGAGCTTGAAATTTTTGATAAGGAAAATTCTGATTTGGTGCCCGATTACGGTAATTGTTATTTGAATGTCCAAACTTTGTCTGTGGTTTGGAATATGAATTTTGTGTGTTACTACATGGAGTCTTTGAGTGATTTGGGAATTTGAAAATGTTTTGCGTATACCGGAAATTTTCTTCAACAATAATATATGCCATTGCTTCTTCTAGAGATGAAGGATTTTTCAAACGAATAACCGTTTGTAAAGGTCCTGATAATCCGCGCACAAATGCTCTCAAACAGATACCGTCGTACTGCTTCATCATTGCGACTTTTACTTCGGGCGTTGAGTCTGAAATACTCAATTTCTGTGCAAGAGTACTCCTTAAAATTTGAAGTCTTTTTCCAAAATCTAAGGGTGACTCATTTCTATTTGGTGAGGCCAGAAATAGATCTTGTTCCAAGCATTCTAAACTTCTATTATTGTTTTGTGCGGCAAGGACACATCCGTTCCAGTCTGGTGGTAGGTTTATTTGAGTTTACAAAAGTGGACTGTATTTGATTTGGTAAAATGAGTAACAATACAAATTTCTTGAACCTGTTGATGCGTTCTATCTCGACACCTCCAATGTTGGTCGCGGCGCTTCGATCTCCTGGTGTCTCCGTCCCCATTGGCTGGATTCAAAAACTGTCAGGCAGCGCTTGCGCAGTGGTCGTGGCTGGTACACAGTGGCGCGCGCGCCAAATGACCATTGGCGTAACATAGGCCGCCCCCTTGAAAGCCTCCAGGCTTTCAACACGATGAGATGCTGTCGTCGTTTGGAAGTGGAAGAGCACAAAGCTTGACTACTGGCCTTTTGTACTCTCCAGTTGAAGTTCTTAAAGTAACAGTTCGAGTGATGTGGTCTGGTCCGGGATGGAGTTCAGTTATTCTGCCGATTCTCCATTTCAATGGAGGGAGTCCGTCTTCTTTAACTAGCACCAGAGTGCCGATCTTGAGTCTTTGAATGAAGTTCTCCTTCCACTTGGTCCGATGCTGCAGATGTGAGACATATTCTTTGGACCACCTGGCCCAGAAGTGCTGCGTCATTTTCTGCAGTCGTTCGAAACGAGATAATTGGTTTCCAGGAACGGTTAACCAATCTTTGTCTGGTGTAGCCATTAATGATTCGCCGATGATGAAGTGTGCGGGTGTGAGAGGAGAAGGGTCTGAGGGGTCGTCTGATAAAGGGTAAAGAGGTCGAGAGTTCACACATGCTTCAATTTGAGTCAATACCGTATAGAACTCTTCAAAAGTTAATAGCGTTTCACCGACAGATCGTTTTAAATGATGCTTTACCGTTTTGACTGCGGCTTCCCATAGCCCCCCAAAGTGAGGTGATCTAGGTGGTATGAATGTCCATTTAATACGATCAATGGCTAATTTTTCCGAAATGGCATCAGTCCGCTGTAAAATGAATTGTTTTAGTTCTTTACTAGCACCCACGAACGTTGTTCCATTGTCTGAGATTACGTGAGAGCAAAAACCTCTGCGAGAAGTAAATCTTCTGAAAGCAGCGAGGAAACATTCAGTTGTGAGGTCACCAACGATTTCAATGTGAATTGCCTTAACTGCGAGACAAACAAATAAAGCAATGTAAGCCTTGGATAACTTGGAGTTACGCGTCTGGCTGAGCTTAATAGTGAATGGACCGGCAAAGTCGATTCCTACAGATAGGAATGGTCGCCCAGGAGTGACTCGAGATTTCGGCAAACTTCCCATCAAGTATCTTTCTTGATTAAGGCTAAAGCGAAAACAAGAGATACATTCCCGAATAATTTTTCGTACAAGCCTTTTGCCGCCGATAGGCCAAAATTTTTCTCTGATAGATGCTAGAAGACCTTGACATCCGATGTGTTTTAAACGTTGATGTTCATGACGAGCGATAATCACGGAGAAATGATTATTTTGGGGTAGGACGTATGGATGTTTTTTATCATAAGGATAATCAGATATTTGCAGACGACCGCCAACACGAATAAGTCCATGCGAGTCAACAAAGGGAGATAAACTAAGAAGACTGCTTTTAGAGCAAACTCTTCCGTCCTGGGTTAGCTGTTGAAGATCGATAGGAAAAGAAGATCTTTGAACTATCCTTATAAGGTATGTTAGAGCATCATCGAGTTCAATAGGTGTCAAGGGGCCAGTTAGGTGATGCTCCTTTGACAGAGTCTTGAGTTTGAACCTGCTGATATAGCCAAACACCCGAAGCAACTTAGAGAACGAAGAGAACTTGATAATTACAGAAGAGAGATGATTTTCTGTTGTCGAGAATAATGAAGTGATCTTTTCCTTGCGTTCAAGGAGATCAAAGCTATCGTTTATTGGGCTATCTTTAAAATGGGGCCAATTCGACTGTTCCCGTGACAGCCAAATAGGACCATGAAACCAAAGATTGGAGGTTAGAAAATCTGACGGCGATATTCCGCGCGACAACAAATCTGCTGGGTTATCACTTGTATGGATATAGTTCCAGGAAACAGGATCAGATAAAGCTTGAATTTGAGAAACTCTGTTCGCAACAAACATTTTAAGAAGATGAGGTGATAATTTCAACCAGCATAATACAATTTTCGAGTCACACCAGTAACAGATTTGATCGAAATTCAGCTTCATGGATTCTTTGACAGTTGATACGAGTTTGACAAGGAGAAGAGCTGCGCATAGCTCGAGCCTGGGAATAGTAACCTGCTTAAGTGGAGCTACCCTAGTTTTTGCACAGAGAATCTTGGTATGACAATTTCCTTGAAAGTCTACGGATCGAATATACACAACTGCTCCGTATGCCTTTTCAGAAGCATCTGAAAATCCATGAAGTTGGATAGAAATTGGATTGTGACATATCACGTGTCTAGGAAATTGAACAGTGTTCAATTCAGAGAGCTTTGATCTATAATCAAGCCACGTTGTATAAAGCTGAGAGGGAATGCTTTCATCCCATGAAACTTTGAGTTTCCACAAGTCTTGCATTATTAGCTTGGAGGTGATAGTGACAGGCGATAGGAGACCTAATGGGTCGAAGATTTGCGCTATACATGATAAGATGTGACGCTTTGTGATTTTTTGAGAGGCACTAGTCTCAGCTATACAATAAGTGAGAAGGTCCAGCGTCGCATTCCAAAATATGCCCAAAGTTTTGTTTTGCTGATCTGCACCGATTTGTATAGTCTCAGAATTTGCGAGAATATCTTTGTGGTTTGAGGACCATTTTCTCAAAGGGAAACCATGTTGGTTTAGTAAATCTGTAAGCTCTGCCTTCAAGGTCAAAGCCTGATCCACCGTCTCTGTGCCCGTGAGAAGGTCATCTACGTAGAAGTCTTCAATAATTACACGACAAGTTGAAGGATAAGCTGTCTTATGAATCCGAGCTACTTCATGTAGCGAACGAATCGCAAGAAATGCCGCCGAGGCTGTTCCGTACGTGACAGTGTTAAGTTCGAATGATTGCAAGTCTTTGTTCCGATCGAACCGCCATAAAATCTTTTGCAGATGGCGCTGATCTTCTCGAACCAGTACCTGCCGATACATTTTGGCGATGTCGGCACCAAGAACAATATTGTGCTTCCGAAAACGAAGTAGGATCGAGAAAAGATCATTTTGGATAGTAGGGCCGATCATCATAATGTCGTTGACCGAATATCCCGAGGTGGACTTGGCGGACCCGTCAAAAACTACCCTTAGTTTAGTCGTAGTACTATCATTTTTCATGACACAATGATGCGGCATGAAAAACCCAGTGTTGTCTTGATTTCGGCACAATGACATGTGCCCGAGATCGATATATTCGCGGATGAATGCGTGATATTGATACTTCAAAGTAAGATTTCGTTCGAGTTTCTGTTCAAGATTAACAAATCGTTTTTCTGCTAGAGATTTAGATTCGCCGAGGCTTGACTCGGGAAGTTTCAAGGGGATGGCAACTACAAAATGGCCGTCGATGTCTTGAACTGTTTCTTTGAAGTTTTGTTCGCACATTTCTTCGTCTTCAGAAAGAAATTTTTTGCTAGGAATCTCCTCTATTTCCCAAAACCTTGTTAGGGTTTTGTCTAAATTGTCTACGCTGAGGTTGCAAACGACACGAGGTTGGCATGGTGAGGCTGGTACATGGCCTGATATTATCTAGCCTAATTTTGTCTTTTGAAGGATTGGCTGATCGCGTCCGAGCTTGATCTGCCCAATGGATATAAGATCCCAAAATAAGTCTGCTCCTATAAGGAGATCGATATGGCTAGCTTTAAAGAAGTTAGGGTCTGCAAGAGTAATATTATGCGGTAAGCTTAGAGAGCTTTTGTCAAAACCAACATCTGGCACGTTTCCAGTGATAGAAGGTAGAATCAAACACGATAAAGTAATGTGAAAACCGCTAAATTTGGATCGGATTTTGACAAATGTTCTGTGTGAGACCTTGGTATCTGATTGACCAATTCCAGATATATCAAGGTTAATTTTGGATTTTTGCAACTGTAAGATCTCGCATAAATTTTGAGATATGAAATGATTAGTAGATCCACTGTCTAGTAAGACTCTACATTCATGTGTGTTACCAAATGCATCTGAAGCATCAACAATAGCCGTAGATAGTAAGATCTGAGACGATTTGTTTGCATAAGAGTGATTGGAAGATAAAGAAACAATGTTATTATTTCTCGCTAGATTTCTGGCTGGCCGGTTCACATCGGCAACGTCGCGTTCGAAGGCAATGCGTTCTCCGCGCTGGCTCGCGGCACCGCGCTCAGCTGTGGCTGTGGATGGCGTGGGCGCATCAGCGGCAACGGCGGCTGCGTTATGACGCCCATTGTACTGACGCCGAACGGCAGGCGGCGAAGGAGGCGCGTCGTGTCGTCGAGCTTCAGGTTTGCTAGGAAAGTGCAGTAAAGTATGTTGAGGCTTGCTGCAATATTTACAGAACATGGACTTGCAATTATTCACGTTGTGTCCGAATCTCAGACAGTTGATACAAAGATTGAGGCGCCTTGTTTCATTAAAACGCTCTGTGGGGGCTAAGCGAATAAACTCTTTGCACATATAGATTGAATGATCCCTTTTACAAAACGCGCATGACGTATTTTTGTTGTGTGTAGCTACAAATGCCTTGGGCTTGACGTGCTTATTGAACGATTGATTTTGTCTCGCTTTATCATGGTTCATTTCGAAAGATTCCAGATTTCGACACTTGTTTTTTAGAAATTCTGAAAATTCCGTCATGGTAGGAAGTTCTTGCGTTTTGCTCCGCATTTCCCATTCGCGGCGAGTAGCGTTATCTAGCTTGGAGGAAATGAGGTATATGAGTATCGAGTCCCAGTGCGAGACAGGTAGTTTCAAAACCTCCAAAGCTCGCAAGTGTTTCTGTAGGCTGTCTACTAAGTCCCGTAGGTTAGCATAGCCTTCTCGTTGGATGTTAGGTATGTCAAAAAGTGCTTTTATATGATTGTTGACTAAAAGTTGCTTATTTTCGAAGCGTTCCTCCAGTAAGTCCCAAGCTACATTATAATTTTGATTTGAAATTTCGAGAGACTTGATTGTGTCTGAGGCGCTACCTTTTAGTGACAATCTCAGATAATGAAACTTTTGTATGGGGCTTAGGGCATCATTGTTATGGATTAAAGAGCGAAAGGTATCTCGGAAAAATAGCCACTGATCGTATGATCCATCAAAATGTGGGATATTCAAGGCCGGAAGCTTGATAGCCTGCAAATCTGGCTGTACAAATTGTGGAGGGGAATGTAAAGCCGCATTGTTTCCTAGCGATGGGCGATGATCGTTCAAAAATTGCTTGGTTTTTGATGTAATTTCATAAAAGGCATTTTCAAATTCAGCACGCGCTACTGAATGAACTGATTCAAAATTTTCCTCAAAATTTCCATCTGAATCTTCGATTTTTTCTTGAATTTTGTTAAAATTGTCTAACAGCAATTCGTCAGAAGCTAGTCTACATTCCAGTTCTGTGATATCTGGATTAGATTTTTGACTGATGGTATGGAAATAATTATGAAATCGAGTAAGAGTACCCTTTATGGATGCAAGTTTTTTAGCATTACCATTCGGCATTATGCGTGAGTGAGCGAGAACGAGAATGAGGGTAAATTCAGGTAGGTAACCAAGCCGTAACGACACAATTTAACGTTAACGACAAATGCGAAAATTTGAGTGCTCCAGAAATAACGAAACAATGTGAAATACGAGAATTTTTAAGCGACAATGTGTGAGCTCAAGGAAAAACGACAGGAATTTGAGATATGGAACGCACCAACCTTTTGTGTGAGTGTGACGATCTTCGATGGCGATTCCCAATGATGGCGGCTTGTTGTAGGTCCCGTGGTCGCTGTGCTTCAGGCCGGCCACGGCGATTTTTAGGAGTTTCTGACTTCGATCCGGCTCGTAGGATCAAATGTTTTGTGCGGCAAGGACACATCCGTTCCAGTCTGGTGGTAGGTTTATTTGAGTTTACAAAAGTGGACTGTATTTGATTTGGTAAAATGAGTAACAATACAAATTTCTTGAACCTGTTGATGCGTTCTATCTCGACACCTCCAATGTTGATGTTGGTCGCGGCGCTTCGATCTCCTGGTGTCTCCGTCCCCATTGGCTGGATTCAAAAACTGTCAGGCAGCGCTTGCGCAGTGGTCGTGGCTGGTACACAGTGGCGCGCGCGCCAAATGACCATTGGCGTAACAATTATCACCAAAACACTGCTCTAAAGCATTTTTTATTAAAGACCAGCTATTTAATTCTGTTTTACAGCCAACTAAAAGTTGAGCCCTACCAACTAATTTAGTCTGTACCACTCTCAATAAGTATCTCTTAATTGTTTCTTCAGAAGTGTTGAATGTGTCGAATAGATAATCACATGATGAAATGAAGCTTGGTAGTGTATTGAAATTACCATCAAAATTTGGTATTGTATCTACAAACATGCGTAACATTTGTAAGCTATTTTCTGGGAATGCCATTTCTTCAGATTCTGATTCAGAATCAGTATTATTAATTCTTAAGTTATTTAACTCGTTGATAATGTCTGATAATGACATAAAATCACAACTTTTCAAATAAGATCTCCTATACAGGGAAATCAATTTGAATGGGGCGAAAAGGAATTTTGGCTCTTACCTTCTACTCCTATCTTCTTGGAAGGCGGCAGGCAGAAGCAAGGGGCCAAGTTCTCGCTCTTGCGCTGTGGATTCTCGTTCGTTTCTGTAGGTCGAACGCCGAAGGGACGATACCCACGTTTTCACGAAACCGGTCACGATACCGCGAATTTTCGGAAAACTGTGTTTTATCCTACTGCTGTCTGCGCCAGTTATGTTGCCGAGATGGCCGTTCGGGTTTTTAAAAACTTTATTTTTACTTTTACAAGACAATACAATATACTTGATATATTTTATAATGGATAGATGTACAATACGGCAAGCAAAACGAGTAATCTTTAATGAATGGTCTGGAAAGCATCAAGAACCTCTATTTATCATCTCGGTAAGGATGCTTTCCTCAGCATTTTCTTCTTCCACGTGCATCCTTTTCTGCATCATAACTTACATACTGGAATAGGTTTGCTTTGTCGTAAATGCGAATTAGACGCATTTTTTAGTATTAAGTGGCAGCTGCAACTCTTAATATGTCTGCATAACAAATAAATATATTTCTCTGTGGTTTTTAGTTTTTCACCATTTTATTAGAATCATTATGCACTTTCTGATCAATATAAAAATTATATCGTTGTATTCTCAATTTCCGAAAAAATCTAAAAATAGTTCACAAAGCGCCATGTAGCGTTTAAGAACTGAACAAATCTGACTAGATTGAGCATTGATTAGGAGTGCAGGTGGATACTCGTTCAAACGAAATCAAGATCGTCAAAATCGGTGCAGTCAAACAGAACTTATGTGACTTTTTCTGAAATGACATTTAACCCTTCCTCCACCCTAAAGATATGAGAAAATGACATAAACAAAAAGTTCGGAAATTGAGCGATCATCACGAAAAGGCTATTTAGTGAGTAGCTCTTGATCGATAGCTCTAGGTTGAGCGGCGGCCGAGGTATAGCTGGCGTCCTTTGTTACTGGCGCATCTACTGTACATAATAAAAAAAACACCCTAGACATTTTAACTGTGATAAATGCGTGAGGTTTCATCTATATTTCGTAGCTCATACTTGAATTCAGCTGATCATATTATGTGCCAAAATACCATATACATGAAAGATATAGGTATTCTGAGATACATCATAGTCAGCTTCCATAAAAGATATCAAGCATTAATACTAGAGCATTTAATTCCTAACAAATAGTCAATCAGATCAATGATGCTCTATAATCGTTCAAATATACCTGATAATCTTAGTAACTACTTCAAATAAATGTACCATTAAAAAAAAATCAACTGCGAGATTCTTAGTTGAAAATGATGTCTGACAGCTGTTTGGAAAATAAATGTCAATGGGTGTGGTCGCACGTGCCAGCATGCGACGTATGGAGAATTGCTAACACAAGTAAATAATTCATAAGCCCCCTTGAACAACTGTCACCTCTTGGGATTCAAGAAGACTGCGTATGATCATATTTTTTCGGTCTGCCACTTCGGCTGTACCTTCCCTCAGGACCTTACAGAAAAAGAGCGGCCAGTATTTCTTCCAGATAATTTTTGATGTAGTGCTTTCAGATGTAACGCAGGTTTATTAAAATATATAGCGAATTTATTTATACTCCTAAAAAACTTTTTGTGTAATTTAGCTTTATCTCTTCTTTTATGTCGTAATACATAAATAACGTTTTATAGAATGATCCGTATCAAAAAGAAATCAGTATCTTACAATTGGTTAAGCATTTTTTTCATTTTTTGGCTACAGGATGCTCACTTTCTTTTTTTATACCGAAGCAGCCCCGTAGACTGAAGCCCAAATGACGGGACACCTCGGCTGCTATGAGGATCCCAAAGAAATTTTGTTAATCCGATTTTTGAACTTCCTAAGGTTAGTAGAACTTGTAAAAGCTTTCTCTGATAGATTGTTAGACAACTTCGACACTCTCAGGACAAAGGAGCGGTCGTATCGACAAGTTCGACGCGGTTAGGATGGGAGGCCAAAGGAAGGCGGGTCTGTCTGGCAGGCACATCGCACGGCGGCATCATGAAAGAGAGCTTTGAGGAGCAAGGCCCGTTGGTGAAGCCTTAGAAGAGAGATAGATCGCCGACACCCCGCCAGTGCGAAAGGGCCTCGAGACTGTCTGTTAGAGCAGAGTCATCGATCAGCCCAAAACGTGTGAGCAATACTCGAGGTTAGGCCTAGGTCATGCGGAGTAAAGTACTTCTTAGCCGTAAACAAATATCATAGCTCCTCGTGCCAGATCAACTCCTCGGTGATCTGGACTCTGACCAGCCGAAATGAACGGCTCTTTGGCAGAACTTGGCCATCCATCAAAACCGGATGAGCGGTAGGACGTTTTTTGTTCGTCAAGGTACAGTACTGTGTTTTGGAAGCATTAAACTGTACAAGATTGTTGCGTCCTCAAGCAGTGATAACCTCCAGGCCTCTCGTCAGAGAGGAAGTCGCCGCTAGTCACATTTTTTCCAGCTCAGAGGTAGAGATCGGCTTGTCACTCCAAATTTTTGCGTGTGGAGTGCTGTCAGTCATCAGCGAAGCAGCGAAGCTGTCTGTCGTAGCCAAGATCTCTGGGAAACACCCGCGTTGACGTTGTGGGATGAAGAGGAGAACCCGTCAATTACGACGAATATCTTGCGGCCAGAGAGAAAGTCAGCCACCCATCTGCAAAGTTTTGCTGGGAGGCCATAGGATGGAAGTTTGCATAAGATAGCAGCATACCACAACTGATCGAACGCTTTCGTGATATCAAGAGAAGCGACATGAGCCTCACCATAAAACTGGATGAGCTTACTCCACAATTGCGTGACGTAAGCTAGGAGGTTCCCTGTGGATCGCTGGTGCCGGAAACCATACTACCTGTCGCTAATCAAGCCGTGACGTTCAAGGTACTGGAGTACCAGATTTATGCACCTCTCCATCACCTTACTTATAACAGAAAGCAGAGCTATAGGCCTGTACTTGACAGGGTCGGTCTTAGATCCTTTTTTATGATTGGTTGAACATGGGAAAATTTCCAGTTTTCGCCGGATGCATAAGGTACTTGGAAGAGACGCGAAAGAACTGGAGCAAGCTCCGCTGCACACCTATTCAGTACAATGGCAGGAATCAATGCTGGACCAGACGCTTTGTTGATGTCGAGCGACAAGAGCACTCGTCTTACGGTCTTATGCCTGATTGTTACCTTTCGCATAGTGTAGGGAACCCTTTGAATTGGGCGTTGGAGGGGCATGGTGGGCATGGTGGAGTTGGCAGCAGAGATCATGGCAAGCATTTCCGCCTTGGCCTTTGGGTCGGATACAATCGTTCCATCCTGACACGTAGGTGATTGAAGGCTACTGTGTGAGAAGTTCTTTTCAATCTGCTTGATTAGCGTGCAGAAAGACCGACTACCATTGCGCTGCGACATTACCCTGTGCCTAACTTTTATATCATGCTGGTTTTTGGCATTGCGAACCGCTTCGTTATATTTGTTTCTGGACTCGGCGTCGTCTTGTCTGCTCTCTACAGTGGAGTTTTGTAAGAAGGTTTTGCATGCCTTGATCTTCTGCCGGCGAGCAGTGTCACACGATTTGATAAACCAGCCGTTGGACCCTGGTTTAGGCACTTTCACTGTATGAGGGATGTATTCCTCCATTCCGAAGTGGATAATTTCAGTTATCGAAGAACAGACAGCTGACGCATCCACATCAGTGAAATAGACATCTCTCAAAAAAAAGTAGAGAAGGAGTCCCTGAGCCCTTCCCATTCGACATGTCCGTAATGCGAAATTTTCCAGCCTGTGTGGGTTTCCGCTGCCACAGAAGGTTCTGACCGAAACTTAACGTCCACAACATCGTGGTCGGAGTTACCCCGAGGGGACAGGACTATAAGGGACAGGATGCGTGGTAAAAAAGAGATTCAGCAGGTTACTGGCATGTGACGAGACCCGGGGAAAAAGTATGGCTTGTCACCAGCTGGGTTAGCCTTGAGTAAGAGCAAACGCTTCGCGCTAAGAAACATGTATTATTCTACGGCTTATAAAGTAATTCAGATATTATTTTTATTGTTGGGGATTTAACCTCCTTCTTCCGGGTATGTATACCAAAAAATTAAGTGGATCAGGACAGCCTAAATAGGGCCATACTATTAGTCCATAGTCTCCACCCATTTAATAACGCTAATGCTAGTTTATTCTATGCAATAAGTATCGACCATCTGG